ACCCAGGAGGGGGTATGGACAGTCAGGAACATGTAAAAAGGAGTGCATCACCTTACCGGTCGCTAGGTGGAGCTGGCGGTCCGTGGTCCATCGATACTGCTTCCCGCCGATAGCCCCTTGTACCCAGGCAGTTCGGCGGCTCAGGGGGCCGGGTGACCGATTTAGAACAGAGTGTTGGGCCCCTGTGTCGACCAGGAAGGTGACTGGACGCCCCCCTACTGGTATGGTTATCCGGGGCTCAGTGGGGGGGTCCTGGCCCTGACCTCCCTAATCTTCAAGGCTCAGGAGGTCGGAGGTCTGAGAAAGGGGTTTGGGTCTTTGAAATGTCCTTCTTTGTTTCTTGGGGCACTCCCTGGCCCAATGTCCTTTTTCCTTGCAGTATGCACATTGGTCTCTTTCTAGGCGAGGCCCCCTTGGTCCCTCTCTCTGCCTATCCTGTCTCTGCTCTGCGACTACTGTGGCCAACAGTTTAGTCATTTCTCTGCTACGCTTCTTGTCCCTCGCTATCTCCCTCTCTTCAATTTCCTGTCTCTGACGTTCTGCCCTTTCTTGATCTTCTTTTCTCCATCTCTCTTCCCTCTCTTCCTGGGTTTCTCTCTTGTTAAAGATGCGCTCCGCCTCTCTTAATACATCTGGTAGAGTATAACCCTGTAAATTTTCTAGCCGCTGTAATTTGTTTCTGATGTCGGCGGCTGACTGCCAGATGAAGGACACGGTCAGGCTAGTAGCTTGCCCGGGGTCCTCAGGGTCATATGGGGTATACATTCTGTAAGCTTCCTTAAGTCTTTCTAAAAATGCGGCTGGCGATTCCTCTGCCTTCTGAACTATCTGTCTTACCTGGGCCAAATTTGTAGGATGCCTACCTGCCCCTCGGAGACCCGCTACAAGCAACTGGCGATAAAGACGTAGATGGGTCCTACCTGCCTCAGTGGTGAAGTCCCAGTCTGGGCGGTCAAGGGGGAAAAGCAGCATCAATTTCATTTGGAAGCTGCGTAGGTCGTCCATTTGCCCCAGGAACATTCTTCCGGGCTTCAAGAAGGACCCGCTGGTTTTCCTCCGAAGTTAGGAGGACCTGCAAAAGCTGTTGGCAATCGTCCCAGGTGGGCTGATGGGTAGTGAGAACCGACTCTAATAGATCAGTCAGTCTCACGGGGTCTGCTGAAAAGGAAGGGTTATTATTTTTCCAGTTATAAAGATCTGAGGCAGAGAACGGCCAGTATTGCAACTGGCCATCGTGGCCCGTCCGGAGGGGCAGGGCGGTTGAATCCGGAGCGGGCTGAGGCTGCGGCATCGCCCGGAAGGGCCGGAGCAGCTGCCGGGGAGCGGGGCGAGGGGCGCTGCGGCCGCTCTCTGTCCGTACCCGGTCCACCGCGCGTGCCGCAGGGAGGCAGACGAAGCTCTCGTCACACCGCCGCCTGTCGCGCCGTCACACGCAGGGCGCCCTTCGCGCAGCGGCCGGGACGCTGAACGCGAACCGGGATGAGCCGCAGCCCGAGCGGTGCCTGCAGCTGCGGCAGTGGCGGGGCCGAGGGGCCCAGGATCCATGACTTTCTCTTTCACCTGGAAGATAATTTGAGGGTTAAAGGTGCCGTCTCGTGGCCAGCCAACATTAAAAGTTGGCCATTCAGAAGAGCAAAAGGTGATCCATTTCTTCTTGCACACATCGACAGACTGGTTATGAGCGTACTCCTGAACCTGTTGCCAATGTGAAAGGGTCAGACTGAGCGGAGTGGTAACTGTCTGGCCCATCTCCTCGAGAGCGATGACTAACGACACTAAGACGGACGAACAGATAAGAAACAAAAACAAACAGATTTTCGCTGCGCGGCTTTGACGTAAAGTCAAAAGCAAAAATTCAGATGGGCTTGGGGACGGGCGCCACGTGCTCCCGTCCTCGTCCCCTACCAGGATGGAAAATCCCTCTGTCAGCGGGACTTTCCCAAACAGACAGGGCAGATTCCTAGACATCTGCCCCTAACCCAGATGAGTCCTTAAGGACTCCAGACGCTACCAGGACGTCTCCTGGAGCTGCCGTCGGGAGTATGAACTCGTCAGTTCCTCCTCGGTGCCGCCAGATACAGATGCATACAGCTGTATACTACAGACGCAGGCGCGAGAAAATAACAGGCAAAGACAGACAGCAGACAACAGAAATTGAGTCCGGACAATTCTTACCTCCCAGAAGTGGGTCGGTGGTCCCTGGGCGGGGGTCTCAAACTTTCCCGGCCAACGCACCAAATGAAAGACCCCAGCAGGGATACTTTCACGGAAGGGAGACCCGAACCCAAGGAACAGCGAGACCACGAGCTTGGATGCAACAGCAAGAGGCTTTATTGGTAACACACGGGTACCCGGGCGTCTCAGTCTCGGGGAACTGAGCGCGCCGAGCTGGGGCTCAGGGGTTCTTTTATAGCAAAAAGCACAGTACAGAAGCGAGAAGCCTAGTAACAGGACCCTGATTGGGCAATTTAAATGAGGCTAGGGCTCAGAGCGTGGGCAATTGAGGTTTTTCTTGGAACTCAAGTCTTGGCCTTGGCCCTATCTGAGGAACAATTAGTCTCTGTGTTTGCTCAATCCTGCTGAGCTGGCCGTCTGGTCGCCCGCAGACATCTCTGTGTTTGTTTAACCTTGCTGAGCTGGCCATCCGGCCACCTGCAGATACGCGACAGCCTGTGTCCTTGAGCTGAGCTCCCTTCTGATAGGCAATGACTATGCAGCTGTGGGGGAACGGAATTCTCCATAAGCCTCAGCTGCCTGTTTAAACTGGGCCAGAGTCTTTCACAATGTGCTTAAATAATAAGTCACCTAGAATACTTGATACTCTGTTTTATGTAGTTAAACTATATGTTATAGAGATTTTATTCAATATATATAGTAATGGTTTTTAGCAATTCAATCTTATTTAAACTATTTTATGGTCTGGAGAGATGGCTCAGTGGTTAAGAGTGTTGTGCCCAAATTCTGAACCCCAAAATCACCAAGAGGCCCATTTCCATGCAAAAGCAAAGAGTCTTTTATTGTAGATGTTTAACGAGCTAACCCCATTAGCTCTGGCCCTTCACCCAGCCACCATGGCGGATGGCTGGAGAAAGACTCGAAGCACCTCGAGGCAGGATCTTAAAGGGCAGTATAAGGGGAGTGTCTAGGGATATGAAACAGTCTCAGGATTGGTGTGCTTTTAAGTTTGGATGACCTGCCCTGTGTTGATTGGTCAACTGGTTGTTATAGCCCATAGGCCCTCCCAGGACGGTTGCTATGCTCTGTATGTCACTGTTGTGCACTGTCTGTAAAGCACACTCAGAGCCGCAAAGCACAGCCCTGCCAGCTAACTTCTGATTGGTTCCTTGCTACCAGGACAGGTACCCCAGCTCAGAGGTGCACCAATCCTGAGACTTTTACTACATGGCTCCTCAGGTACCCCCTTTGCTCTACCCTGCCCCACTGCAGCTTGAGGTCTCTTCTGCTCCCACTGATGCATCGGACAGATAAGAGACCCGAGTTTGAACTCCTAATTAAAGACTCTTTGCTTCTGCATTAGATCTGGTCTCTTGGTGATCTTTGGGGGTCTGGATTCTGGGCACAACACTATGTGGGAACTAGGAACTGAACCCAGGGTCCTAGAGCAGCAACAGCATTTAACCACTGAGCCATCTCTTCAGGCCTTTAGTTGATTTCATAAAGAGAACTCTTGGAAGGGAATCCACTGTCCTTACTTGCATTATGTTTTCTTGTGTGGTGCTGATGAAACCAGTTCTTTAACTTTTGTAGCTCATCTTAGGCTTGACATCTATTCTTATCAATGTTAATGAAAAATGTTGGTTGACTTTTACCTGACATAAATAATTATTTGGCACTAAAAGAATAATCCTATCGCTGGGCGTTGGTGGCACATGCCTTTAGTCCCAGCACTCGGGAGGCAGAGGCAGGTGGATCTCTGTGAGTTCGAGGCCAGCCTGGTCTAAGAGAGAGTTCCAGGACAGCCTCCAAAACAATATAGAGAAACCCTGTCTCGAAAAACAAACAAACAAACAAACAAAAAATAATCCTGTATTCATCTACTAGAAATATGATGAACTAGGAGAGTGTTTGCTTTTATCCACTTGTTATTCTTAAAAAACTTGACATGAATATGTTTTTAAATATCATGTTAATTAATTGCCTGAGGTCTGTTAATGCTATTTGTATTTTCCTAGTCTGTTTAAAATATTTAAAATATTTTTTTTCTGTTTTAACTGCACTTCATTGTTCTGGAGGCATTAAATTGTCAGTGTAGTACTGTTATGCCAAGTTTGTGAGACCCCCAAAAGAGACCACCAAGGAGCTGGCTCTGATGCAAACACATAAGGTTAATGTTCCAAGCCTCGGCAGGGACCCTGTCCAGGAAACTGGCACAGCAGCTGCAGGAAAAGGGTGTTTGACCTCAATTGTAAGGGTTTTTTAAAGGAAAAAACTTCAAGCAAGGTGGTACATGCCTTGGTTGTTCAGGATTGGGTAAGAGTAGGTGATCTTTGGATTCATTGACTGGGGTCTAGGGGAATTTCAAAATTGTTACTAACAGTTGCCCACAAGGACAGTTGTGGCAAGAAGATATTATTTATCAAAAGTAGTCATTGCCTGACCACCCAGATGGGGTCACTCTGTCTGTGTAGGGGCTCCTTGGAACTGTTTGTGGTTCCTGGCTGGACCTGAATCAGCCTTGTGCATGTAGGGAATTTTCTCAGGGTGGCTTTCTCTGAGGATGGAGTTAGCTCCATCCTCTCCAGTTTACCTTGCTCTTAGAGTACCAAGAGCAAAGTGCTTGCATTGGTTCAGTGTAGACTAATATTAGAGGCATTTCTAGGAGAAATCTGGTTGACATGGGAGACGGATGGGCAGAGTCCAGCTTAAGTGCCCTGATTTCTTTGACAGAATATTCTTCCTGTGTAATTAGACCTCAGTCAAATATAACAATGTTTATCAATTTGCCTCATGCGCTTTTTCTTATTCTTTCTTTGTTTTAGGATTATCCTAAATCAACTTTGAAATACAAAGGTGTACATTTTGGCAATGCTACAGGAAGACAAGAATTGCTCAAACATTCAGGTCCTGGTCCTGGACAGTATGACATCATCCAGTAAGTAAAAACAAACAGCAATTGGACATGGTGGTACACACCTGTGATTCTAGCACAAGGTAGGATGATTGCTGCAAGTTCAATACCAGCCTGGGCTACATAGTGATTCTCAGTTCTTCAAGGATTACATAGTGAATGAAACCTTGGTGAGAGAGTGAGGATGGAAAAGACTTCTTAAGAATCATGAATATAGTTGCAGACTATAAAGTATTGTACTAGTTCAGACTAGGCTATTCTGTTAAGAAAGGAAAGGTAGTATGAAAAACTCTAAGGAGTATTACATTTTTGCAATAATCCTTAAGAAAATCATTGCCTTCTCATGAGCTAGACTCTGTCTCTCTCTATATTATCTACATCTATATCACTTCATTTAGTCTTCATGAGTCTCCTTGTAGTTAGTATTATTTACCCATTTTATTATGAAAAATTCAAGCATCAGAGAAGATAAGTAACATGTTTTATCTTATGTGACTATAAAATGCCAGAACTAAACTTTACCTGAGACCTGTTTGAGTACTTATCTCATGCACCTAATCATTAAGATGTACTGTGCTTAATTTAAAATCAACAAAAAGATCCTAGAATATCTTAAAGAAGGTGGATCAGAGTTCATCCTTTGGCTTGCCTCTGTTCTTCTGACTAGATAACTGTTTGAAAAGAATTCTGATTTAGTGAGGTTCATGGCCATGACATTCTTAGATATAAGAATGAGTGGCAGTGGTTGGTTTGAAAAGGAACTGGCACATAATTACCTGCAGGAAGTAGCTTTATGAGGAGAAAGGGTCATGGACCATTATCAGGCCTTGAGATGAGAAAGCATTTGGAAGGAAATAGTAATTATGTTAAAACAGGGCTTTAAAGACAAAGAGATGCTTCTCTTTAAAACCTGGATGAGCTTCATTGAAAGGGATAGCTTAAAGTATGAGTAAAAGAGAAAGCTGCCATGGATAAGATGACATGGAATAGCCAGAATAGCCTTCTGAGAAACTCCCAGAACAAAGAAAATACCTGACTTTTAAAGTCTTCCACATCTTATGATTTAGCTCAACATCATATATGACAAAGAACATAGAAGAGTTAGGAACACAAGTTAGGGCTGTGGTTAGGCCACAGCACAATAAGGCTACTTAACTTTGACCCAGGGAAGAGCTGGGGTTATTTGATACTGCTCCATATGGTTAGCTTTAGCTGTGTTTTTTCTCTTAAAAATTTGTGTGTGTGTGTGAGCCTCCCCTCTTCCCATGTACATCAGAGAAGAACTTTCCAGTGTCGGTTCTCTCCTTCCACTATTGGTTCTTGTGGCAAGTACTTTTGCCAATGCTGAGCTATGGTTTGCTCTTCTTAGTTTACTGGATACCAGCTTCTCTGCTGGTTCATTTCTCACAGCATGAGTTTTCTCTTGGAAAGTTTCTTTTATATTTATTTACTCTGTATCTAGACCCAGACATACCTGCATACTAGTAGTGGGCATAGCTGGAGGCTTGGACTCCTGGTTATAGCTCATTCACTGAACAAATATTGAATCCTTGAATTTAGTAATACAATAAGAATAAAGCTTGATATTTCTTTTGAGAAATTTATACCCAGGCCATTATTTTTATTGTTTTACTCTCCTAATCTGAAAGGTATACCTTTGAATTTTATTCTTTCAGTAATTATGCTAGAAATGTAACATGCACACTTACTTATATATTTGTGGTAATATGAAAGAAAATAACCCCCAAACGAATTGGCACTATTAGGAGGTGTATGCTTGTTGGAGTAGGTGTGTCCTTGTTGGAGGAAGTGTGTCACTGTGGAGGTGGGCTTTGAGGTCTCATATATGCTCAAGCCATTCACTGTGAGCCAGACAATTTCCTGTGGCCTGTGAGTCAAGATGTAGAACCCTTAGCTCCTTTTCTAGCAGCATGTCTGCCTGCCTGCTGCCTTGTTCCCACCGTGATGACAGTGTACTAAACATCTGGACTACAAGCAAGCCATTCCAATTAAATGTTTTTAAATAAGAGTTGCCACAGTCATCCTGCCTCTTCACATCAATACAAACCCTAACAGAGATAGAAGTTGACACTTGGAGTGGGATATTGCTGTGATAGGCCAGACTACTTTTTTTTTTTTGTAATATGGATGGACTTTAGGAGTTTGGGTTAGAAAGGCAGTGGAATGCTTTAAGTGATGCTTGATGGGCCATACTAGTAGCTTGGAAGACAGTGAGGGATGATTTGAACAGTGGCGGGGGTCTGGCTGAAGAAGTTTCAGAGAACAACTTTAGTATGTTGCCTAGAATGTGGCTGCTTTTTGTCCTTGTCCAAAAAGTTTTCCTGAAGCTGAAGTGAAGAGTTTTGGATTAATTTGATTGGCAGAGGAGATCCCAACAGTCCAGTATAGACTCTATTGTGTCATTGCTAGTGTTAACTCCAATGAAGATGTATGGTGAAAAGGAGCAAGCTGAGCGAGGAAATCTATTTGAGGAGACAAGGAGCACCAGGAACTGGAATGGAGCTAAGTCCTATGTTCAGAGAAATAACAAATTAAAGAAATGGAATAAAGGGAGTGGCGATATGATATGGTTACAAGGCTTTGAGTGCCAAAGAGTGGAATATTGTGGTTTGAAAAAAATGGCCCTCAAAGGGAATGTAACAACTGTGAGGTGTGTCCTTGTTGGAGTAGGTGTGGTTTTGTTGGAAGTGTGTCACTGTGGAGGAGGGCTTTGAGGTCTCATATGTGCTCAAGCCATGACCAGTGAGACAGACAATCCTGTTGCCTGCAAGGTGTAGACATGTCCAGCACTGTGTCTGCCTGCATGCTATCAGACCTCCAGGTCCCATGCTTCCCACCATGATGATAATGACTGAACCTCTGAAACCATACGCTTCAACCTCAATTAAATGTTTTCCTCTATGAGACTTGCCTTGACCATGGTGTGTCTTCACAGCAATAGAAACCCTGAGTAAAACATAGTCTATATTTACTATTCTTCCTAACAGGTTAACTACTACAATTATTCAAACTCTGATCTTTTCCCTTCGTGACATATTCGTGTCACTTAGCATTTAAAAAGTAAATATTTATGTTCATTTGTCATGAAAAATTATTGACTAATTCTGTTATTTGACAATTTAAAACATGTGTACAATGTATTTTGACTACCTCTCACTACCTCTTCTTATTTCTGTTTTTCTGTTGCCTATATTAGTTTAATTTTTATGTAGTTAGTCTAGTTTTTTAAACTGTTGAATTTTGAATGTCTTTGGAATTCTCTTCAATAAATAAGAATTATGGTTTACTTAAATATAATCTTAAGTGATTAATACCAAAAGTTATAGTGGGTTTATAATGGACCATAGATGGCACTAAATCCTATACAGATATTTTCTATTCTTTTCATTGTGTCATAAAGAATGAGTTGTTAATATGTCTAATTATAGATGAGTCTGAAGCAAAGAGAAAAGTAGCTTGTATTAGATCATAGAGCTAATAGGTGAGATTCCTGTCAGGCTGTCTGACTTTAGGACTTGAGATTGTTAATCATTGCTTCATTTTCTTTAAATTGTCTAACGCAGTGAAAATACATTTATTCTTTCTTCTCAGAGATTTGTATGCCTTTTTGCTTACTGCTTTATGATATAAATAGAGAGGACCATTTTTTTCTTATTTAACCAGAAATTAAAATACCAAGGGATTTTAGATTTTTAAAAACATTTTTTTTGTGGTAAGTAGAATATCAGGAAACTTTGTTTGGTTACCTTTGATGATGTCAGTTCATGCTGTAATCCTCATGCCACATTTTCCTTATGGAATAATTATTGGAATAATTTTATAACAGTGCTTAGAATTTTAATTTCCTTCCTTTTCATGTGTGTCTGTGTAATGTGCATGTACGCTCACACCCATGCGGAGATGTTTTCAGGGATTCTATTCCTCTACTGAGTGGGTTCCAGGGATTAAACTCATCTTATCAGGCTGGACAGCAAGTGCCTTTCTCCATTCTTGTAGCTCTAGTGCTACAGATTAAAAAAACAAAAAACAAAAGCAACTACATGAAAATGCATTTTCATTAGAATCTGAATGTATTGGCCCAACCTAGTAATCTTATCAAAGTCATCTAAAGCAGAAGCTGTTGCTGCAAAAATTATCTTTGCTAATGCAAATATTTGATTTTAAAATTGAAAACTCTTAATTTCTATCTGAATTTTCCAAAGGAAAAGGACATTGCATTATGAAAATATTAACATCAAGAAAGATAAACAGCAAGATTATTGTACATTTGTCCCTCGGCTGTATGAAGAAATAGCATTGAAGGAGGAAAAAAAGGTAAGTTAAAAGGGGTACTTCATCTGTGTCCTCTGCCTCTAGTAGTACTGAGTCCTTGTCACAGGACTGGAGCTCTTTCAGGTCGACTGTGCCTGACACATGTATCACTCAGTGAGTGCTATAGAAGAGGCTTAGTACATGCCATGTGGTCACTGTCTGCTTGGACACTTTGTCATCAAGAACGCACTATGCCTGTTTTCTTATTTCAGCAGTAGACAATTCTTTTTCTGTAGATGTCTTTAGGGTGACCTAAGTTTTCCCTTAATATCATTCCCTCCATTTTGCCTCCCTTACTGTGATTTCTTTTCCAAACCCTTTCTTTAGGAAGTTTAAGTGCTTTGGTATCTTTGACTGTTATGCAATGTCAGATTTACTTACCTTCTTTTGACATCTTATGGGAGTTTCTTCCCTCCCCTCCCCGAGATGGTTTCTATGTGTAGCTTTGGAGACCAGGCTGGTCTCCAACTCACAGAGATCCACCTGCCTCTGTCTCTTAAGTGCTGGGATCAAAGGTGTATGCTACCACTGCCAGGCTTATAGGGGCTTCTTAATTTGTGAATCTTGTCTTTTCTCCTTTAAAAAAAAAATATGGTATCTAAAACTATGCCTAATATTCTGGGTGTGGTTTTAATTGCACAGAGCAAGATTCTTATCTTTTTTTTGTTCTGAATTGTGTATATCTTCGTGTAAAACTGACTTAGATGTATATTTAAGTTTTTTTACTTGAAAATTATAGGCAAATACAATTCTTTTTCTTGTATAGTATGTTTTAACTTAGAGTAAAGACTGTAATGGGAAAATTTAAACAGCAGTATATTGAAAGTAAGGATGTATGATCCTCCGTTGGAAAAAAATCAGTAACTATTTCTCTAAGTTTTATTTATTTATGTATTGTGCATTCGTGTTTCATCTGCCTGTATGTCTGTGTGAGGGTGTCAGATCTTGGAGTTACAGACAGTTTTGAGCTGCTGTGTGGGTGCTGGGAATTGAACTTGGGTCCTTTGGAAGAACATCCATCTCTACAAACCCCTTCTGTAAGACTTTTTCCCTCAAGATTTTCTTGTGATTTCCTTAGATTTTAACTAACAATGAAAAAATTACATAAAACAATACATAATACATTATTGGAAAATATATAATCAAAATAATAATGCATTTGTTTTAATAAAATATAGGTTATAATTTTAAAAACCAGTAAAAAGTATTAATTGTGCTTAGTATGATCTAATGAATGTACTGAGCAATTTTATAATATAGTTTAAAATATACTCAGAAATGGGTGAGAAAAGCTTTTGGCTGCTGCTAATGTTCTATAAATAGAACTTACCTATACATATATGTGATCTTTTGTCAATAAAATACATACTAAGGTCCAGAAAATTATTTACTAAAATATAAATTAAGTTCAGAAAATTATTTTAATTTGCAGTTTTGACTGTATTGAAGGTAGAATCCAAGGCTTTGTCGTGCTAGGCAGATATTCTCTCATTTCACCTGAAACCCAGTCCTCAAGATTTCTAGAAAAATTGCTATGCCTTTAAAAAAATCTCTTATGTCATAATACTGCACTACGAACCAATAAGTACTGATCCGCAATGAAAGTCCAGCCTCCCCGCACAAAACCTTCGCTCCTGGCCCGCCTCTCAAATGAAAGAGGCAGTGAGCGAGACAGACCAACAAGATTACAGCAACCTTTCAGAACACAAGGGACTTGACAGGGACGAGTTCATGGAGGTGGAAGCCACAGTTGTCGCCGCCACCACCAGCAGCAGCGCGTTGAGCGGCGTCACCAGCGTCTCCGCCCCAAGCTGCCATGGCGGCTGCTCCGCGGGTACCTCGGCAATCACAACCTCTGTACCTCAACTCGGGGACCTGACGACACTGGGCAACTTCTCGGTGATCAACAGCAACGTCGTCATCGAGAACCTGCAGAGCACAAAGGTGGCAGTGGCCCAGCTGTCCCAGGAAGCCAGGTGTGGGGGAGCCTCCGGAGGCAAGCTGGCTTTCCCAGCCCTTGCGGAGCAGCTCCTAGCCCTGCAGCGGCAGCAGATTCAGCAACTGCAACTCACAGAGCAGATTCGCCACCAAATACTGCTGCTGGCTTCTCAGAACGCAGACCTGCCAACATCTTCTAGTCCTTGTCAAGGTACTTTACGAACATCTGCCAACCCCTTGTCCACATCAAATTCCCATTTATCTCAGCAGCTGGCGGCCACAGCTGGATTAGCACAGAGCCTTGCTAGCCAATCTGCCAGTTTGAGCGGTGTGAAACAGCTCCCCCTAGTCCAGCTACCTCAGAGCAGCTCCGGAGCCCTCGTCCCGCCCAGCAGTGGCACTTCTCTCAACATGAGCATGGTGACGACGGCAGTTCCCACCCCATCCTCAGAGAAGGAGGCTTCCAGTGCTGGTGCCTCCCGTGTCAACACTCCTGACACTCCGCCAGTCTCAGCATCATCCTCACCTGCATTCGCAATAAGCAGCCTATTGAGTCCTGCATCTAACCCACCTCTACCTCAGCCCACCCCAGCGGACGCTGTTTCCCCCAGCCCTTTGCCCAACGTTGGAACAACTGCAGAGGACTTGAACTCCCTGTCTGCCTTGGCTCAGCAAAGAAAAAGCAAGCCACCAGATGTCACAGTCTTCGAAGCAAAAAGCACTTCAGACGAGGCGTTCTTTAAACACAAGTGCAGGTTCTGTGCAAAGGTCTTCGGGAGTGACAGTGCCTTGCAGATTCACCTGCGCTCCCACACCGGAGAGAGGCCCTTCAAGTGCAACATCTGTGGGAACAGGTTCTCCACCAAGGGGAACCTGAAAGTCCACTTCCAGCGCCACCAAGAGAAGTACCCCCACGTTCAGATGAGCCCCTACCCAGTACCGGAGCACTTGGACAACATCCCCACCAGCACCGGCATCCCCTGTGGGATGTCCATCCCCCCAGAGAAGCCAGTCACCAGCTGGCTAGACACCAAGCCGGTACTGCCCACTCTGACCACTTCCATCGGCCTGCCATTGCCCCCAACCCTCCCAAACCTCACTTCCTTCATCAAGACAGAAGAACCAGCCCCCATTCCTATTAGCCATTCTGCTGCCAGTCCCCAAAGCTCAGTCAAAAGTGACTCTGGAGCGCCTGATTTGGCCACAAAAAACTCAAGTGGGCTCCCAGAGGAAGCTGAAGGGTCTGTTGTGCCACTCTTCTGTGGAAAAAGTGAAGACACTGGCGTGACCGCCGGCTCAGTCCCAACAGCAGGCAGCAGCACCCTGAGTTCCCCAGGGGCTGACTGTGGTCCCGGAGGGGCCAACTTCACCAACCCTTTGTTGCCACTCATGTCTGAGCAGTTAAAGGCCAAGTTTCCTTTTGGGGGACTCTTAGATTCAGCCCAGGCCTCAGAGACATCCAAGCTGCAGCAGCTGGTAGAAAACATTGACAAGAAGGCCGCTGACCCCAATGAGTGTATCATCTGCCACCGGGTTCTCAGCTGTCAGAGCGCCTTGAAAATGCACTACCGCACGCACACTGGGGAGAGGCCCTTCAAGTGTAAGATCTGTGGCCGGGCGTTCACCACGAAAGGGAACCTTAAGACCCACTACAGTGTCCACCGGGCTATGCCCCCTCTCAGAGTGCAGCACTCGTGCCTGATCTGCCAGAAGAAGTTCACAAACGCAGTGGTCCTTCAGCAGCACGTCCGAATGCACACGGGAGGCCAAATCCCCAATACCCCAGTCCCTGACAACTATCCAGAGTCCATGGAGTCTGACACAGGCTCCTTTGATGAGAAAAGTGTAGATGACTTAGACAACTTCTTGGATGAGAACGTGGAAGAGTGTTCTGAGGGCAGCATCCCGGACACACCCAAGTCAGCTGATGCTTCCCAAGACCTCCTGTCATCATCACTTCTGCCTCTGGAGATCTCAAGCATCGCTGCTGTGGAAAATCAAATGAAGATGACCAACGGCTGCCTGGCAGAGCAGCTGCAGGCAGGCCTGAAATCAGTGGAGAATGGGTCCATGGAAGGGGATTCATCCTCAGTGGGTGGCGATATGGAGAGCCAGAGTGCCAGCAGTCCTGCCATCTCAGAGTCTGCCTCTTCCATGCAGGCTCTGTCCCCATCCAACAGCACCCAGGAGTTTCACAAGTCACCCAGCGTTGAGGAGAAGCCACAGAGAGTGGGGCCAGGTGAGTTTGCCAGTGGTCTGTCTCCCACCCCAGTGAATGGGGGTGCTTCGCACTTGACCTCTAGTCATGCAGAGAAAACCATCAAAGAAGATTCTCTGGGAATCCTTTTCCCTTGCAGAGACCGGGGTAAATTTAAAAACACTGCTTGTGACATGTGTGGTAAAGCCTTTGCTTGTCAGAGTGCCTTGGACATTCACTACAGAAGTCATACCAAAGAGAAACCATTCATTTGCACAGTTTGCAGTCGTGGTTTTTCCACAAAGGGTAATCTGAAGCAGCACATGATGACACATCAGATGCGAGATCTGCCGTCACAGCTCTGTGAGCCCAGTTCCAACCTTGGCCCCAATCAGAGCTCTGTGGTGATTCCTGCCAATTCATTGACACCTCTCATCAAAACAGAGATCAACGGCTTTATGCACATTTCTCCTCAGGATGCCCCCACTAGTCATGTCCCTTCCGGGCCTCTGCCATCCTCCTCAACATCCTCACTTCTACTCCCAGCTCTGCCCCGGAGAACTCCCAAACAGCACTATTGTAACACATGTGGTAAACCCTTCTCCTCCTCGAGTGCCCTGCAAATCCACGAGAGAACTCACACTGGAGAGAAACCCTTTGCTTGCACTATCTGTGGAAGAGCATTCACGACAAAAGGCAATCTGAAAGTCCACATGGGCACACACATGTAGAACCACACTCCTGCACTCCAGGGCTGTTGGCTCTCCATGGATGACCCCATGACATTTCTAGGAGGCTATCCTGTCAAGTTCCCAGACATGTTCCAGAAGCATCTGGCGGCAAGGTCAGGAAGTGGGGATCCATCCAG